CACCTGGACACTCTGGCTTCTCCCTGGAACAAATGAAAATTCCTATGGGGCCTGAAATCTGAGCTGAGAAGTGTGGAACTTTAAAGTGGGTGTTTTGTCAGAGATTGGTCTGAGAAATTCGGCTACTCGGTGATGCAGAGTGCTCAGGAATCCTGCACTTGAGCTGCTCCGGGGTACCATGTGCAAGTTCTGTCACGTCCCATCCTGGCCATGTCCCCTCCCCGCCCAGTTTGGTCTCTTGTGCAGCACTGAGAGATCAATTGGTCTCTGCCTCCCCTATCCTGTGCCCCCAGAATTTTTCTTCCAGCCTACAGAAGAAAACCCCCTGACTTCAGTGTAAAGAAGCGGTGGCCCATGAATCAAGATGGAGCATGTGCCAAGGTATTTTCTGTGCTACTCAGGTGAGGATGGCAGTTCACACACAGTCACTTTGCAGGTTGGCTCTGCTCTGCAACCTGGTTTTCAGCAGTACAGCCCTGATTTCACAAAGTTTCATTTCTGTAGTTAATCAATGTTTGCTAAATAGGAATTAAATAGGCCTCCTCCAAGGTGTGCACTTGAGGATATTCCTTTTCTGTGCTAGACAGCAAAGGAGAGGAAGGGAAAAGACTGGCAACCTTCAAAATACCGTTATGGCTATGATGTTCTTCTCAGAAACACGCAGACTGGAACTGCCCACACTTTCAGGCATTCCACATCTCACAACACAATCCAAACTAACCCAAACTCCGAGGGATTGATTTTAATCTCCTGGTGTTCCTTCATGCAGCTTTTAACTTTTCCACTTCTTGAGTTGTCACTTGGTTACTGGTTAACAGTTTCAAAATCTTTGGTGTCTTTCCTAATATTTGGCTCAGTAACCTGGCAGCCTGCAGCCCCGCTGCTGTGGCTACAAGCATTCCTGCTGCCTGCAGATGCACATGGAGCTGTGTAATTCCTTTGCACTGGCACCAGGCAGGCGAGAGCCATGGGGGAGTTGGGCTGTGCTTTGCACCAGCTGCAGCCCACCTGCTCCAGGTCATTAACTTGTTAGTGTAGTCAGTCCTCACCTCAAAGTTTGGCTGATGGTGTTGTGTGTGTGCCTGCCCAGCACCTCTCTGCCCCTCATCCCATCCCTCTGCAGCTGCAGCGGTTCACAACACTGAGATGTCTCCACAGAGGCCAGCCCACAATTCAGAGGTGTGAGACAAAGCGGATGCGCTGGGAGTACGCCAGGTCCAAGACATAGAGCAGCAGGTTGACATAGGTGAAGATGGCAATCACCAGCTGGCTGTCCCAGGGGCACTTTCCCTTGGCACAGAGGCCAGGGCGTTGTGGGGAGCCGTACTTGCTGTCAAAGCAGAACACTGGCCAGATGACCGCAGCACTCGCGTAGAGCAGCACAGCCCCAAAGGTGTAGATGACCACAGAACGCTCAAAAGGGAACCACAGCAAGGCAGTCTTACCTGTGACGCTGAAGGCCACTACCACCACTGTCACCACAAAGCAAAAGCTGTAGACAGCCACACACCACTGCGTCGCCACGTATTTACCATATTGGCTGTCGTTCACTAGTGCCCCAAAGATGATGCAGGCCACAAAGGCCTGAACGATTTTCAAGAGTCCAGAGATAGTGGCCATGTAGCTGGTGACTTGTCCCGGTTTTGCCCTGGTTAAGAACACCTCAGCGGCGTAGGCGACAAACAGAAGGCCCGCGAAGACACTGGCTGCGATACGGAAATCCCTCACCTCACAGCCGATGGGGTAACAGCCCACCTGGACAAAGTAGAGTGGGTAGATCACTGCCGCCGTGATGGACATGAGTGTGGCAAGCATGGCAAAAGCAGCGGTGAAGTTTCCCCAGGAGAGGCTCAGGCAGCTGTGCAGGTGTGTGAACTCACAGGCAATGATGAACACAGTGATGGCAAAGCAGAAGGTCCAGACAAACATGCAGAAGGTGCCATACGCGGCACTGAAGCCCCCTTGGTGGGCAACCAGGCTGAATGTGGTACATCCGAAGGTCATCTGCAGCAATCGAGCTATTCCTACAGGGGAAGTCACCGCAGCTGTGTTCAGATACGGCCCTCCCGTGCTCTCCATTATCTTTCCGGTCCAGCAGACAATGCACTCAAAGCCTCCTCAAACGTCTTTTCTGGCTCTTGCACCTTTCTCCTGAGTGACACCTGGTCCCAAGTCAGTGGAGTGGCAGCTCAAATCCTGCTGGTCTCTGCTGGCATCAGAGGGAGCTGCCTCTGACGCTGCATCTCTGGCAGCTCTGCACAGACCTGCGGCTGCAGGGAGGTGACTGGCTGGCTCTGCCCACTGGCTGTGAGCTCAGGGTGCTGCTGTTCGCTCTCTGCTTCCTCAGGTCTGAAACCTGCCCCTGTGCTGTCCTTCGGCTGTTTCCTTTCCCACAGGACAGTACTTCTCCCTGGAGGCTGACATTTATTCCATTTTAGCTCTGCAGCTGTAGCTTTCTGCTGCACCGTTCACAGGAACCTGGAGTATAAATAGGGACTTTATTAATAGTTCTGGAATGAGTCCTGCCCCCACTCAGCTGTTGGGAGAGGGTGTTATTTAACACTGAAGCTGCAAGCTCCATCAAAGGCTCTTGATTATCCTTCTGCTGTTCTTCTAGAAACTCTGGGGTGACTGGAATGCTGCTGCTCTCCACACAACCCCCCGTGCTGAGGGGAGGTGTCTGGCTGAGGCAGCGGGCTGTGATCCAGCCCTGCTGCAGGAACAGGAGCTCAGCCCTGCAGGCCCAAGAGCCCCTGAGTCAGGGCACAAACCCAAAGGCAGCACAAACCCTACAAAACAAAGGATTTAGGCCAGAGGCTGAATAAAAGCTGACTCACTTTGCTGCAGTGGATCTGGAGCAGTGATATGTTTACCTGTTGTGCTTTGTGTGACAGCTTGTGACTGTGATGGTTGACAGGACCTGTCTTCAACATTCCCTTAAACTTCCCTGTCTCTCTTTTACTTTATGTGGAAATCAGCTTTTCTTGTATCTCTGAATGAAATAGCTGAATAGATTTTTATTTTTTTTTTTAATTGCTTTGGTATTCTTAGCTCTGTTTTGGAGCACAGATTTCAATAAATAGTGTTAAACTCTCCCTCCTGTGAGATCAAAGCTTTCACAGTGAGCCATTCCTGGTATACAGTGCCACCCAGACTTCATCCGTACCCAGAAGTCTCTTAATTACATCTCTAAAAGCCCCGAACAAAATTTCTGATGTAATTTCAGAATGGGAATGGGTGAATGTTTTTACCACAACATAGCAGAAAAATTCCTTCCTTACCCCACGGCAGCATTGCTGACTCCTCACCTGCAGTACTCATCCCAGTATGGAAGCAGAACAACTTAACTGTTGGAATGGTTCACATGCGAACCATACAAATTTTTGTGTGTAATGATAAAATGTGCCTACCTTCATCTTTGTCACCACCTTGTAACCTCAGTGTCTCTTTCATTCCTCTCAAGTCCCTTCCATTTTCCTTTGAAAGGCCTCTGGTGCTAAAAGTACAAAAGCCTGCATTTATTTGGGGTGGAAGCTGCACAATTAACATCACAATAACCAGGAAATGTAGCAGGAGAGCCGAGGAACTCCAGATGAACAGGTTCTCACCCTGAAGTCCTGCTCTACCTGACTCTGTTTATCCTTCACCTCTAGCAGTTTTCCAGGCCTCACTGGCAATGGGTCACTGGCACTTTCTGCACTGTGGCACTTTCTGGCGCATCCCTTCCCACCTGCCTGGGCAGCAGCAGAAAACCCAGGGACACTTTAGGGTGTCATGGCCCACTTGGGACACATCACCCGTCAGTTCCACTGGGGCTCAGTGCAGAGCTGGTCCTGCTGCTCAGCCTCTGCTCTCCAATGAGCAGTGCTGCCCATCTGGAGAGCCCTCAGCATCAGTCACTGCTGGCAGAGGGCAAAGGTCCCCGAAACCACACCAGTGGACCAGTGCACCAGACAGACCACAGCTGCTTTTTCCTCAAATAAAGAACTGTATCTAGTCAAAGGAGCACAGAATACAAACACATGGCACTGAATTCTTCCAGTCTTGTCCTTTTTTCACTGGCTTCTGCACAGCGGAAACCGGTGAAAAATGTAATCAGGACAATTCTACTTTTATACCCAAGTCATTAAAACATAAAGGATATCAGTAATCTCCAAACTGATCATAGGCAAACTCCACTGATGTTTTCCCATTTTTCAGTTCACTGGGAGCACCAACCACTTTCTCTTTTTTTTTTCTTCATCTTCAATCTGTGTTAATCCCATCATGCACAGCAGGACAGCTGATTGTGGTGGTCTGTGTGTGGTCCTGTCAGACTTTCCCTGAAGTCCAAGAAAAGGAACCAAAGGGCTACAGTTTGGTTCATTTTTTGGGTTTACTTACCCAAAACAAGGGATCTCACAAGCAGCACCACTGTTCTAACCTGGCAAGGTCTTTCTTGAAAGTACAGGTAATTCTTCTAGAATCTTCTCGAAATTCTCTGGGGCAGCCATGCAATGTAAGCATGTTCCCAAGTGCAGGCACACACACCTGGTGCAGGACCTTGCACAGTTGGGACGTGCAGCCGTGCTCCTCGTGCAGGTGTCCCCACGCCCCCGCACCGTGCCGCAGGGCAAAGCTCTGCTCCAGCCGCCCACATGCTCCCACCCAAGGAATCGTCTCCTCTCCAGCCTCAGTCATGCATTCTCCATCCCCCCCTTGTTCTCCTCCCTCTGCCATCAAAGGGGATTCTCTATGCTGTGGTGGGTGTGTTCCCAAATGATTAGAAGAGAAATATGTTGGTGCTTGTCTTGCGTTCTCTGCTTTTTCTGCCCCAAATATTTCTGATGCTCTGCTCAAACATTTCCCTCACTGGAAGAGAGGCCTTTGCAGCAAAGCCAGATCTCCCTCCACCTCGGACTACCTGGGGAATCACAGGCAAGCTGAAAAGGCTGTGAAAGTCTCTGTACTTAAACCTTACATTACAACCTCTTCATCAGAGAAACAATGACAAGGCACACTGCAAGGGGAACACAGAAATCTAATTAATACAAAATGTCAACACCACCCTTAGCCCTCTCCCAGGCACAAGTGACCATCAGGATAACCCATCCAAATGAGCAGCATATACAACTTTACAAAGACATAGGTATGGTTCTCTGGTCAGCCCTTATAAATAGCATTTTACATATTAAAATAAATATGTCCACGTTGCCAAAGTAGCAAGAGGTTTCTTCGTTATTTAAAAAAAATATGTTACAATATCCTTTATATTTCTTGCTTAGTTTAAAAAAGTAATTAAAAAGTCATTTTATAAAATAATATGAATAAATTGAGTACAAGAATGTCCATCCCTAGCATGTGTCCTGGGTCTGTATACTGTGACTCAGCATGAGATGCTAACCTCCAGGAAGTAATATAATCATTCCTTCACTTGTAGTTGGACAGAAGAAATCCAGTGCTTGCTTTTTTCACCACTTGTAACAAGTCTATGATGTAAAATTCATGGCAAGGGAAGATGTCCCAGATCTGGGGAAGGTTCTCATCGCTGCTATTTATGGCTTTGCTACTCCCTGTATCTGACTGCCTTGTGTAACACAGGAAGAGGATGTGACCGGCTGAAACTTAGCCCTGGAGTCTGGAGGGAGGGAACAAGTTCCAGCCAAACAGTGTAAGCAAGAAATTGCTGCTTGGTTTTTTTTTTGTTTTGTTTTGTTGGGGTTTTTTTGCTTTTTTTTTTTTTGGTTTTTTTTTTTTTTTTTGTTCTTGACACACCATAAGCGTGCAAGAGTGTGGGAGCAAGTGAGTGCACAGGTGTGAGTGTGCCATGGGTATGAGGATGCATCTGCCTGCAGGAACATTAAGGAAGAAGATTAGAAAGTTTGGGAGAAGGGCTGAGAGTCTCTCTCCTCCTGATCTAATCTCTGCCCCTCTGATGAGCCATGCCTAGTTACTACTGCTGAGCATCCCCAGGAGTTTACTGGGCTCCAGGCCCTGCTGCTGTGCCATCTTCTGAACATCAAAACCCATATGCATGAGGAACTGGATCACATTCATCTCTTGCCCTGTGAATTGGTCCCTGATTGTGGGGCACGAGGGGTTGCAGTGAGGCCATGGACAGCTGTCAATCAGGTGAATTGGGCAGCCTTTCAGAGGAGCCTTCCCATTTTTGTTGCTCTCGTGGAGGCTCCGATCCCAACAGTGGAGGGCACGGGGTAATGATGTTCCCTTCACCTGGATGTCAGTCCAGTGACTGAAAAGACAAACCGTACAGATCACATCAGAGGGGCCAGGCTGCCAGCACACATTCATTCCCAAGCCGTGTCCCCATTCATCTCTCACAGGCTCTGCACAAGCACTTACTTGCGTGTGATGATCTCATGGGACAAACAAGCAGGAGCAAAGCTCGCACTAAAGGAAAAAAAGAAACGTGGATAATGTCTTGAAGGACAAAGTAAGTCCTGCTGAATCAAAGCTTCCAGACTAGGGAGAGGGTGGAATTTTACACAAAAATGAAAAAGGCAAGATTCTTGATGTAGATGAACTTACAGTTAGAAAATTTACAACACTCCTTTTTCAGCAGAGGTCTGAGAACACAAGCACACCAAATAAGAATGTCCCTTAGAAACAAATGTGCCAGATTTTTCTCAATGAAATACTTACGTCACATCCTTCAAGGTATTTCTCAGCTCTCTACCCAAATTCTGGATGTAGAGCCACTGCCCTTCCTGAACAGGCTGGCCAGTTAGATGCACATTGTCTACAGTAAGCTGGGCCTCATCAAAGAGCCACTGGACAACAAAGACTGGGCCTAGAAACACAAAAAAATTGGGAAAGGGATTGCTCCAAGTTAGTTAGAGATACAGAGGAAACCCTAAATCCATTTGATCTCTCTCCTTTGGTACTTACATCGAAGAGTGGGGTAAATCTTATATCCAAAAAAGCAATTCCATTCCTCTCCCTCTTTAAACTGCAGCTTACAGCGCTCAGGAACAATGCCATTCCAGTATCTACAAGACAAGGCAGTAACAAAAGGGGAGGCATGGGGCAATTCTAACAATGTATCCTCTCCATATCCTAGTTCTTGCTCTGATTAGAATTTCAACTGACAGAACAGCTCTCTCAGCAGCATTGTCCCATCAACATATTTTAGAGCATCTATAACTGTACACATTCTTTCACACATTTAGACTTTATTGTCTTTTCCAATAAAATCATTGAAAAAACACTGATGTGGACAATAAATACTCCTTAAGTATCAAAATGAAGGAACACAGCAAAGGAGGACATTTTTTCCACACTCTAACTTCTTACAGTTCTGTACCTTAGAGTATCTGACTGTACCTTATTCCTCTTCTGATGGCCTCTGTTGGAGCACATGTTATGGTATCAATACAGTCAGTTCTGCGATACTGTTTGTTATCCAGGAACCATCCAGAGTCTGCCAAACCTCGAACCTGAATCCCTTGATAACCCATTTCCTCCAGCTGCTCTGCCACTCGATCCACGTTCAGGAGCACTCCTGTCCCTCCAGCACTGCAACAGCAACATCAGCACTGCAGTCATGAGGCACCCACAGGTGTAGCATCTTGCCAGCAGACTTTCCTCAGCAGTGACACATTATAAACACCTTCATCCACTCACAGCAGAGCTATCCAGCCATTCAACACGAATTTGGTAGACACCACATTATTTCCTTGCTTCGCAACACTAAGAAATAAAGCCAATGCTGAGTAATAATCTGGTAGCTCAACAAAGCCCTGTTGTTACTCTCTTTCCTGGGAGATACACATGCTCTGTATCATTTCCAAGGGGGTTGGCTGCTCAAAAACTAAAATAATCTGAAGTGAGACAAATTCACTCCTAGCAATTTCTCTATTATACTCCTGTGTAATACACTGAGTGTACCAGAGCTGTGTGCAACACAGAATGATCCAGAGCACCTGTGTGAGGCAACTTTGGTTTTTATTTCAGTGTCCTGAATCAATGCACAGGAGGTGTGTGTCTTATGATGTGGGCCAACAGGAATCAGAATACTTGGTGAAGACAAGAACACAAAGCTTTGTTATTTTCTGGGTTTTTCTTAAATGGATCTGGACCAGAAGCTGATGAAGTAATATTGTACCATCCCCAGTAAAACTTACACCAGAAAACTGACCAGAGATACAGGGTTTGCTGTGTTAGTGTTACTGTACTCTTAGAAAAAATATTTCAGGAGCTCCTGAGATTTCCTCCCTTAACAGCTTTCGACTTTGGAAATCTCCTGTCTTCTCAAAACAGAATCTTGTGGATACCTACCTGCTCCCTGCTAGCAGCAATACTTTGGCAGTGCTCAGACCTCTTCCCACCAGCTCCTTTATAACCTCCTGTATGATCAGTGCTCCCATGAAGGCATATTCATCTAGAAGACAGTTCAGTGTCAACAACATTTTTTCCTGTCCAGGCTCAGACTTTTACTTCCTTTCCAAAAATTCTTAAGAACTTTCCAAAGTTCTAAACTCAAGCTCATTTTATTCACCTATACAAAATATACCTATCAAGAGATTCTCCCCTGCCTCATACAAAATGTGCTGCCCTGAAAATGAGTCGAGTAAACTGAACACTGAATTACACAAGTACCTTCCTATGATAGTGCTTAGAAATGAGTAAACTTGGAAAAGGAAAACAAGAAGGAAGGTGCTGGAGGAACAAACATGCACCTTCCTACCATCTGGAATCTCAGTTCCAATTTACTACTTCCCCTTTTCTCCAATTCATCAAGCCAATTCAGAGAAGCAATGCTTCACAAGATGTTACATGCACAAAGACACTGCTTCCTTGGCACCACCAGTATCCGTGGTTGCTGATGTGTAACTGCTCCATAGGAACAGCCCCAAGGAGCTGGGATGGAGTTAAAAGGTCCCTTACTGTGACATCACCAGAATGACAGCGGATGGCAGTGTATTAAGATGAACTACGCTGTTTCCCAAAGAAACCTGCAGACAGCTTTAGCTTGACTCACAATGACTCCAGCCTAAAGCCAGATAGCCTCTGGATAAGTCTGACACTAAATTCACAGTCCTGCCTCTCAGGTCAGACATGCTAAAGTTACATGCAACAGTCCATGGTCCTTCAGCTGCAGCAATAATTTGCTACATGCTGGAACCTGGAGATTCATCTGAAAGGAATTTTGGTCCTCTAATCCTTGCATACTGCATCAGTGTAACATCTCTTCAAGCAGTGGCTCTGAACTATGTCAAAACAGCCTGAGCTAAAGAGATCAGGATGTTTTATCTGGAAGTAGCTTGATATTCTTTCCTGCCCTTCAGCAAGAAAAAGCCTGTTTCTCATCCACGTGGTTTCACAGAAGTCTGGCCACATCCTTTAATGTGTGATCTCTGGGGCAGCAATGGCCCATCAGCAACACTCACTTTTCTCAGACTTGGAAGAGGCACCGCTCCAAACATCACTTGAGCAATATGGGATGAATCTGTAAGAGAGAGCTCTGTGAGTCCTGCTGTGCCTCTGACACGCACAACAGGGTGAGGATGGGGTCACCTAACTGGAAGAAAATTAAATCCTGATAAGGGGAAAAGGGAAGAGTTTCTGTCCAGTTTGACAACTTACCTTACTGCACACCAAGTGGCAACTGTAATTGTCTTGAATTTTCTCCTGAACACCGATAGTTTTACTAAATTAAATCAATAAATCACATGTCTTTTATCAATCTAATTGAATCACTAAGCTCAGTGGACAGAACGATGGAGCATGACTTTGCTCTCAGCTATTCTGCCAAAACAGTGGATGGCCTGTCACAGGGCAACTCTCTGTGCTTCAGTTTTTCACACAAAAAATGAGAAGACTCTAGTCAGTGCAGTGTAAATGCTGACTGCAACCACTGGAGGTTTTTGCAGGAATTAACTTCCCATGTCTCTGTTTTGCAGAGGACAAATTAACATCCCTTCTGTACTTATATATATATATATATATATATATATATACATATATACTGACACATATAGAGACATCTATATATCTCTCTCATTTCTCTTCTTTGAACTAAGAGAGCTGCTCCACATTCTTCTCAAATTGTCAGATGTGTAACACACTATCAGCCCACAACTAGTGATGGATTCACCACTGCAGCTCTTTGAGAAGGCTCTCTATGCTATCCCCAGTTTTTCTTCATTAGATCACCCCACAGCTCCAAGGAGATTGAACTTGAGTTTCTCGACCTTGTCAGCCCTACATGTTAGAAAGCTGAACTGCAGCAAATGAGGAAACACACAATTTCCTTCTCCAGGTATTAGTCTTAAGCTGTCTCTGCAGCACTTTTGCAAGCCTGAAAGGCAGGAGATGCTGTTTAAGTATAAAGCTATTTCCCTCTGTTGTCCCTCCTTACACCATGTTTGCATTCCACCAGTGGGGATTTTCTTCTGGCTGAGAGGACAGGATCCCAGTTCCTGCAGATGGGCACAAAGAAACAAGAAACATACAGATGACAGTCTGTGATTTCAGCGGAATCGTAGGAGCCTCATGCAAGACCTCTGACCACACAGAAACAAACATCCATGATGAAAAACATTGGCAAGGGAAGTGGAAGGAACATTTCTAAATTTGCCCTTAGGCAGATTTGACATTCAGAATTTGATTCATGCCACAGATGAAGCCTGTCTAGAAGCTTCTTGTAGTACATAAAAGACCCGTGATGCCTATTTAAGTACCTCCCCAAAAGACAAATCCTAGCAGGTAAATTCCAATATACTCAGTCAGACGGTCTGTGTGAGTGACGGAGGTTTGGGTACCCAGGAGGCTGCGGCATGAGAAGAGAGCGAAGAGAGGAGCGCTCATTACCGGCGATACCTGCGCACCCACCCGCCG